GTGACCACAGTGAATGCTTCTTTTTATATTGCTATAGTGTTGTATGAACGTGGATGTAAAAATGTTATTTATCTCTCTTTCTTTGCAGTGAAGTCTGAGGCACAGATCAGTCTCCTATGATCCCTCACAGCTAGTTTCTGCCGGGACTGCTCCCTGGACTCTGCCTCTTTCTCCACCACAGTAGAGCTGCTGTGCATGGGGGTACAGTGTTGAAGTGTCTTCCTTGGAGTAGCTCTGCTCCCCATAGTGCTGGGGGCTGTGCTGCAGCTTTCTGGCTCAGGAATGCTTGCACAGAAGCTCAGAAAGAGCCACAGAAGCACAGGATTAGAAAATATCTCAGTTTATTGGACCATGTCACTTCAGAGAGTTTTATGAAGCAATGGATTTCCAGGTGAGGAAGGGACTAACTGAACTCAGCTGGGGTGTGCTCTGTTGGGGCAAAGACCAAGGAGTAAAATCAGCATCTTCACAAGTCACTTTTTTTTTTGCAAAAGTAAGATGGGTGTAAGGCTGGTGCATGCACAACTAACTCATGCTGTCCTTGCAGGAAGCACTCCAGAAAGGATGGGGCACAGCCTTTGTGCTTGTCACCATGTGCAGTGTGAATCCATGCAGCTGGGGCTCAGCAGAAGCCACATCAGCTCACTCCAGTGTGGTGGTTTTGGCTGAACTGTTGTCCAAACTACATATCGATGACACTTCTTGCTCTTCCAGGAATGAAAAAGGAGGGAGTTGGCTTCCCAGAAGGGCAGAGAATTAAAAAAAATAGACAAAAGCTGTATAAAAGATGAAATTTATTGGTCAGACAGAATGGCATTGCCCCTTGCACTTCTTGTGTATCCATCACAAGGAAAAAGCTAACTGTTAAAAACCAAAGCCATGTGAAATACATGTGTCTCCAGGCAGGAGGGCAGCTGGAAGCTCTCCTGGGCTGCCTCAGTGACTGGTTAAGGGTTGAAGTGACAGTTCAGCCCTTCTCCTGCAGGCTCTGCACCTCTCCCCAGTGCTTTTACACCGATTCCATTAAGCTAGTAAAAAGGTGTTAAGTTAAAATCTAACCTCAATTTAAACAGAACTTACATAGCTTTGGTTTGCACCATGAAGTTTACAAGGGCAAATCACAGTCATAAAATAGTTTTAAATCAGTAAAACATACCCATGCAGAACTGGAGTTCTTGTTCTCCAAACTGGTTTTACCTGGGTCAGTGCAAGGTGGGTGTAAGATAAAGCCTTACTCCTCATTTTCACCCAGGCATCACATCTAACCCTTCAGCCTAGGTGATTCTCCACAGCAGGGGATTGTGGCCAGTTCATCCCTTTGATTTCATGATAAATTTCCAGCTTGGAAGAGACAGTTGGAAACCCAAGTCCTGAGCACCTGGGGAAACCCTTCACCACAAAACACCTGACAACTAACCTGAGACATGACAGCTCTTTGTTTCAGTGCATAAGGGTTAGCTCACCCTAAAAGACTTAGAAACAAAATTCCACAAACTCATGTCCATATACAGTTAGAAAACATTTAATCCAGGATTTTAGAGAATTAAAAAAATAAATTATTTTACAATAATTTTGATGCATGTGGCCTGATGAGTTTCCAAGCATCCAGCCTGGCCTAGGCCAGCCTTCCCCTCCCTCTCTCTCCATCATACTCCCCTCTCCCAACCACCATAACCTTTTGTGCATAGTCCTGTTCCCAGACACGTTCCTATGCACTCCAAGGACAAGAAGAATGAGCAGCTCATTACCAGGAAAGAAATGTCAAACATGTAGCTCAGCAACATGCTTTTTCCAAGTCCTTGGTGGTTTTTTCCCCTCTCAGGGTAGGCATGAGGCTCCTTAGCCTCCCACCCCTTCACAGTGTGCCACTTGGGGCTGTGGCTTCCTGACCATGTCCTCTGCCAAGATGGGATCAGCAGCATCTTTCCCATAAGCAGCAAGAAGGAACATTTTTGTTTACCCTGCAGTGTAATGTTCCTTTCACTCTTCAGCCTCTCCACGGTGGAGCTCTGACCATTTGCACAGCAGCAGATTTCAGTGATATGCCTGAGGGCAGCCAAACTCTGTTTGGGTTCATATCCCCCAGATTTTGGCAAATCTCAGCCCTCTGGCCTGCAGCCAACACCAGCTTTTGGGTGCTTGTCCCACGTTTTGCCTGTGGCCCTGTACTTGGCAGAGGGCTGGGCCACAGAGGCCAAGGAAAGTGAGTTCCCTAAATGTTATCGTAGGGGACTGCAAGGCCAATATTGTAGTTGTATCCGGTCACTTCGTCATAGGAGGAGCGGCAGATGGGGAGAACACTCTCCACAGCCAGCTGGTCCACTGAGAACTCATAGCAGTAAATGATTCCTCGGTACCTGTACAGAGCACAACCAGGACATCCCATTATCTCTTTATATAATGGGGAAATGACAAAGGTAGAGATTGCCAAAAGGATCAAAATTTGAGGCTTCAGAAGCTGAATAGGTTCGTAGTATGCAAAGGTGTTGGAATGGAGCTTAGAGATCATCCAGCCCCAAGCCCCTGCCCTGGGCAGGGACACCTCCCATCAGAGCAGGTTGCTCAAGGCTTTAGCCAACCTGGCTCTGAACACTGCCAGGGTTGGGGCAGCCACAGCCTTCCTGGGCAACCTGTGCCAGTGTCTCACCACCCTCATGGGGAAAACCTCTGCCTAAGATCTCATCTCAGTTTCCCTCTTGCAATTTATACCAAAACAATAATCCATTCTGCCCTAGTCTGTGCAGTTTTAACAGAGAAAACTCCCTCCTGCCTCCTTCCAGGGACCCAGCAAGCCCTGGGAACAAAGGGTGAATCATTCCCTCCAGCACTGCAGAGATGGGACTGTCATCTGCTGAAACGTCATCTGCTGAACATCTCTGGTGTATTTGGGATGGGGGAAGATTGTTGTCTGATAGTTCAATTGGACATGTAACAGCCATCTGAGAGGCAAATACCAAAACCTGGAGTTTAAATACCCATAGTTTTCCTTTACAAGGAGATATGGCTAACATTTAGAGCTTAGAAAGGGCTTCAGTGGCCTTTGAGCTCCACTGCTGAAAAACAAATGCAATATTTTGTCCCCAGTTCATCACTGGTTTTGAGAGCCTTATATTTAAAATATTTTAATTTTGACATGCTATACCTCCTCTGCTACTGCTCTGGATCATGACTCAGGTGCTCAGTGTGCCATTTAAATCTATATAAGAGAGCAGATCCTTGCAGCACCAAAAATGCCACCCATGAGAGCTGTCACACTCACTTGCGGTGCACGGTGAGGTCATCGTCGGTGATGCTGCTGCCTCGAGGGTTCTTCTCCTCAGGGATGTTTGCAGTGATGAGGCTGTGGGAATTAAACCACACGTGGCGGACTGGATGTCTGAAAAACAACCCACAGCACTGGGTGAGATGCCACCTGCATTGGACTCCTATGATCCAACTGCAGGAAAGGAATTGCTCTGGGGGAAACAAGAATTCATTGAAATCGGCACCGTCTCTGTGGGCAGAGGCTGGAAACATGCACCTGTGGCTGGGAACATGCACCTCTGGCTCTTCTCCAGCCTGGAATAGCACACAGAGCTTTATCCCCATCCAGTACAGCCAGAGGCTGGGAACCTGCACTCTCTCTCTTCTCCCCAGCCTGGAGCAGCACACAGAGCTTTATCCCCATCCAGTACAGCCAGAGGCTGGGAACCTGCACTCTCTCTCTTCTCCCCAGCCTGGAGCAGCACACAGAGCTTTATCCCCATCCAGTACAGCCAGAGGCTGGGAACCTGCACTCTCTCTCTTCTCCCCAGCCTGGAGCAGCACACAGAGCTTTATCCCCATCCAGTACAGCCAGAGGCTGGGAACCTGCACTCTCTCTCTTCTCCCCAGCCTGGAGCAGCACACAGAGCTTTATCCCCATCCAGTACAGCCAGAGGCTGGGAACCTGCACTCTCTCTCTTCTCCCCAGCCTGGAGCAGCACACAGAGCTTTATCCCCATCCAGTACAGCCAGAGGCTGGGAACCTGCACTCTCTCTGTTCTCCCCAGCCCGGAGCAGCACACACGGTTTCTATCCCCATCTAGTGGGCTCTTACCAGAACACACGTGGAGACAGAAAACGTGTTAGAAACTCGGCAGCACGTAGCTCCAAGGGATGTGGCTGTCTGATGGCTTGTTGCTCTAAGGCCTGCAGCGCTCCTGGGAAGAGCAGGATGCTTCCCCAAAGAAGGGTAAGGACATCCAGGACCCCAAAACCCCCAAGCACTAGGCTACAGCTGATTTAAAAATGCACTATGTGGCACAAGCCAAGAATCACAGAATATCCTGAGCTGGAAGGCACTCACAAGGATCATCGAGTCCAACTCTTGGCCCTGTACAGGACACCCCAACAATCCACCCTGTGCCTGAGAGCATTGTTCAAACACTCTTTGAGCTCTGTCAGGCTTGGGGCTGTGACCACTGCCCTGGGGAGCTGTTCCAGTGCCCAAACACCCTCTGGGGGAACAACAGTTGCCTGATATCCAACCTAACCCTCCCCTGACACAGCTCCAGCTGTTCCCTCGGGTCCTATCACTGGTCACACAGAGCAGAGGTCAGTGCTGTCTCTCCACTACCCCTTGGGAAGAGCTGCAGACCCTGATGAGCTCTGCCCTCAGTCTCCTCTTCTCCAGGCTGAACAGACCAAGTGGCCTCAGCCACTGCTCGTATGATTTCCTCTTTAGACCCTTTGCTATATTCCTGTCCCTCCTTGGGAAGCTGAAATCTGGTCTTCGTTCCTTTTCCTCTCACTGGTGAATAAACTAACCCCAAACCACTGTAACAGCATTTTCTACTCAAGAAGGAGTAACTTATCTCCTCCGATGAAGATGTCTCATCTCCATGACCCTAATGAATCTCCTGTCACTTCCCTTACCTTCTGCCCTGGCTTTCCATTCCTGGCAGGGGGCTGCAGGCACAGATAACAACACACACCTTGTCTGAGAAGGCCTTTTGATTGAAGTGATCCCTTCTGATTCCTCTATAGATTAAACAGTATTTTAAATGTTTAATCTAATGGTTTCACTTTGAGTACATCCCCCAAGCTCAGCCCTGCCCTGCCTGCCCTCCTCCTGGAGCAGCACTAATGAGCATGCCAAGGAGACAATCAATGGAATATTGTCCTTAATGCATCAGCCACATCACAACAGGCTTTATCATTCCCAGGGTCAACAGAGAAGGCAATACCTGCTATTAATCAATGACAACTCCAGCTTGAACTTCTCTGGCTGTAAATACCTCATCTAGCTCCTCTTTGGGGAAGATGCATTAAAAAAATCAGGATTTATCTGCTCATTTTATGGATATCACTCCGACTTGCAAGGGGCTACACTCTTATCTTCATCCAGACAAAGCCAGCTCCCTGGGAACTGTGCCTTGATCAGCAAATCCTAATTTGGCTGTAGCAACTCTCAGCTCCAGGATACTGAGCTCTGCTTCTACTTTCAGTACTGTACTTTTTGTGCTTTCAGTACAAACTGGTATTTGTACTGGTATTTGTAAACTCATTAATATTTAAATGAGTTTAAATACCAGCCTGGCTTTGATTGTCACAGTTAAGGGAATGTTGTGAGTGACGTGAATCGAAACATGAGGATTGTGCAAGGACACAGCTGATAGAGACAGCCAGAACCAGCCACTCTGGAAACAACAGCCAGTTCAGCATTTTAAATCCAAGTTCAATAAAGTAAATACTGCTTGGGGATGGGTCAGGGAGAAGGCATTTACTGAATTTCATGGAAAATCAAGGGGAAACCATTTCCCTGCTCCCTGACCCCGACTGAAGCACTCGTTAACTGATGAGTACAAAGGCCGTGAGAGCTAAAGGGCACACCCAGGACTCCAGGAGGGAAGGAAATCTGTCCCCAAACCACATGCAAACTAAACAGAGCTCTCAGAAGCTTTAGACATTGGCATGTTATCATTTCGGATCATCCCATTCCCACATTCCTGCAGTCAGCCGGATCCCATGAACGCTGTGCAGCACACAGACCAAGTTACCTGGCGTGCATCTCCCAGAGCTTGGTGCCCATCCGCTGGTCCCACACACAGACCAAGCCCTCTTCTCCTCCACTGACAATCTTCCAGTCATCCATCTGCACTGCAGACACTCCTAACTGGTGGGCATAGAGGGAGCACAGAGACTCACTCCTGCGGAGGTCGAACACCCTCACCCTAAAGGAAAGCAAAGAGCAGGGATAAAACGAGCTGTGACTTCTGAGAGTACAAGGACTTGTGGGGTTATGAAGATATATCTGGGACAGCAGCAGTGCCATGGCTGCTCCAAGACTGGAAAACCAGTACAGTCCACATTTTTCACCAATGAATTTTCACTCTGTGAAATAACTGTGACTTCTGTTATCACAGATTTTTTGGGCAGCCTGCTCCCACCACACAGGACCTCTCTGTCTCTTTACAAGTCCTAGGACTTAAAGAGGACCTTCTGATAGGTCCTAGGACTCCAGTTCTGGGGTCCTCAGCACAAGAAGTATCTGGTGCTGCTGGAATGAGTCCAAAGGATGCCATGGAGATGCTCCAAGGGCTGGAGCACCTCTGCCATGGAGCCAGGCTGGGAGAACTGGGAGTGTTCAGCCTGGAGAAGAGAAGCTCCAGGGAGACCTTAGTGGACCTTCCAGTGCCTAAAGGGACTCCAAGAGAGCTGGAGAGGGACTTGGGACAAGGGCCTGGAGGGACAGGACACAGGGAATGGCTTCCCACTGCCAGAGCACAGGGCTAGATGGGATATTGTAGGCACTATGTTATTGCCCCGAGCAGCTGTGGCTGCTCCATCCCTGGGAGTGTTCCAGGCCAGGTTGGATGTGGCTTGGAGCAACCTGGGCTAGTGGGAGGTGTCCCTGCCCATGGCAGGGGGTGGAACTGGGTGATCTTTAGGGTCCTTCCAACCCAACCCATTCTTTGATTCTATGAGTCTATACTACAACATATAAGTGAAGTTTGGAGAAAACTTTTCTATCTGTGCCTCCCAAAATGTTAGCAAGGCCATGAGGCACAAAGCACTGTATTCTAGGCATGCTGCTAACATATCCTACCCCTTGGTACCTCACCCACAACCACTGTGGCCAAATGATGCTATTACTGTGGGCAACTTTTAGATCCATCTGGTTTTCAGGTGTTACTGACCACTCAGACAAGGCATTTTGAAGAGAAACATATCAAAGACTTGGTCAGAAGCAGAACTGTAGAAAAAGAGCTTAGGATTTCAGCCATTGCAAGAAGGCCACAAACCCAGTTAAAGCTATTGGTGTTAAGCTTTAGACCCAGCACATATCACAAAGGAGCATTTTTGATCCTTATATAACAAGATGAAGAGATAAAGCAAATACATCAGTGAATAACAGAAGGAAAGGGGAAATACTGATCTCAGATTTGAAAAGAAGCCAGAGAAAGTTCCTCTCAGCTGATGGCTATCAGGAATGAAGCCATCAGGTACACATTAATTCTAGAAAGGGCCAAAACACACTTGTTCCAACACATTAACTGTACTTTATTTCATCCCCCTGCTACAATCCTAATGGTGTTGCAAGTCTTTCCTTTTCCTTTCTCAAACAGAGATTGCATCATATGATTTTACAAGTAACACATCTCAGCAACTGAAAGAAAAGGCAATAGAACAGTCCAGAACTCCAACAGAGCAACATCCATCTGACATGTAGAAAAACATGCTGGAACAGAGTGAGGATCACGCTCTGAGTGGCTGCACAATCACCCTTGGGAACACCCCAGACAACAGTTGTGATGGTGACAAGGACTTTCTGCTTCCTCCAACTCCAGCAGAGAGAAGCTTTGGCTACATACTGGAGCTGTGCTTTGGGTAAGGATGGAGTATTTTGGAAGTGTTCACACTCAGAGCTCTCCCTGTCTTCCTGCATGTGTTCTGCACAGCAATCAAAGCTGCTCCTGGTTGGGAAGCACAGCTGGAAGCCAAGATCTGATTGAGTCCTGCTTGTTTCATTAGCAAGCACCCAGGTTTCAGGCAGGTGTCCATTCTGGCACACCCTTGGAAGAATCACAGGCACACTTGTGCTTTAAATACAAAAAGGAGAAGCATTTTGCAAATCTGATGTGGTGCTGTAAGGCAGGCCTGGCACAGGCTGCCATCTCCTGCCTCAGCAGCTGGGCTCAGTGGGAGCACGGCGGGTCATCCCAGTTCAAGGCAGCCATAAGGAAGGTGTTCTCATGACCAGGCTTTGACCCTCCTGTTCCCACCTCAGAAGTAAGCTCCCTTGCTTGGGAGAGCATGGAATACATGTTTTGATCCACACCTTTCAGCGACTGGGCTTGCCATATGTTTGCTTTCCCAACACTATTCACCATCTCAGCTTCCACCACGGAAAAGCAGCGATCAGCACATGCTCCCTGCTATCAGATCTCTTGCCAGCGTGAAGCACAGCTCAGAAATCAAAGAAATCAGCAATGCTTCAGGAATATTTTTGGATGAAAAGGCAGATTTTAGAGGTCCTACCAAAAGCATTTCACAACATTACTTTTCAAAATCATGGCTGTGAATAAAAGAATAGCATATACTAGTCAAATTGTGAAATTACTATGTTTAATCCAAGCAGTAAGTGTTCCCAGTGGCCATTAGCAGTTTGGACTCCCATGGTAAGGTCCCTAGTCAGTAGATTTGCCCCAGAATAGAGCTGTGGAGGCTCCAGTCTCATTCCACCTGTAGATGCAACACCTTCATGCAGCACCATATGAAGAACTGATCTGTGAGATAAACATGGTTTTGTCTCCTGGATGCCAAACTTACTTGCTGAACTATTGATTCCTAACTTCTTGCTGTTTTAGTGACAGACACCCCTTGAACTCAGTGCTGGAGCTGAAAAACCAAAAAGCTTTCTGGAGGGGAAAGGGCACAGACATCTCCTCTGGTATACTCTAGTAAAGGGAGTAAATATCAATCTCACTGAAGGGATATCAACTTGAGCTACTCTCCCATCATTGTATAAGAGATCAAAATTGGAGGTAGTTTTACTGGGGTGCTTTGGAAAATCAATTATCTGCTTTTAAGGGGAAAAAAAACCTCCCAAGGATTCAATTACACTTGTCCAACTTCAGATATTTATCCTTTATCCTCTTTGCTGAGAAAAAGGGTGAGGTTTGCTTGTGCTGCCTATTCACCAAGAAGGGGGAAAAAAAAAAAGCTGTTTGACAAAATAATCATTTTTGCAAGCTGCTGCACTGGCGGGACAGAGGTCTGGGACTTGGCAGAGGGAAGTACCCGCCTCACAATCTGATCCCACCACCACAGCACACCACCACCTGCAGCCTGGTGCCCAGCACAGAAAGGAGGAGGGAAGGAAGCAGGAGCCATTAGAGACTGGCTCCTCGCCATCCCACATCTCCTTTGGTGCACTGGATCAGACCCCACAAACAACTAGCCAAAAAAAGAAAATCTAAAAATTGGACTCAAAGGGTCTTTTTAAGCACTTTAATCCTTTCGCACTGACTGTTCCCAGCGCGTCCATTCCTGGCACCAGATATTGTGCTGGGAAAATCCTACTCCCCAAGCCAAGGAGTTAAAGAGAAAGCTGCTAATCAGCTAAATAGAAGCTGGAATCTGTTCATATGAAAGTCTCTTTTTTTTTGTCACCTGAGGGACATCACAGTGTTCCGAAATACACTCTTGACATCATTTGGCAGACAGACCCATCTCATCCTACATGATTCATCCCTTAGGTTATTTTTTAATATCAGAAAGTGAGCTTTTAAATGCCAAACTAATTTTGCGGGTGGTGGTGGGGAAGTGGAAGATATTCCAAGTGGTCTCGCTGGGCTGTACACCAACTGCGTCCACCAAATGGCTTAAAAAGAAAGTCTTCCCATGGAGCTTTCCGAAACAAAGCACACTGACAGCCACATCCAACTATTACCTAATATTTTGTTCCTCAAGTTCACACAGGCTGCATTGGAAACATGAGAGGAGAAACCAATTCCAGCGGGTCCAGATGTAGGACAGCAGGACAGGAAGTCAGCTAATTGGAGATGGGCTACAGCTCTTGGTAGCACCTACCTTCTGTCTTTATTGCCTGCAACAAGCATGTTGGGAGGACTGTTGTGGAGGTTGACACATGTGAAGTCACCTATGGAGTTGCCCACCTTCGTTAGACACTGATTTGTTTCCAGATTGTAAAGAAGAATCTGGCAGAAAGAGAATAAACACCAGATAAATTTAACATGAGCACAACGACGTTTGCTGCAACACAAAGTAGAGCAGAGTTGTTACCATCAGAGATATTTTGCAAGACTTGTTTCTTGATATGTAATACAGAACTAAGATGCAGATTTATTCCTATTAAGAAGGGCAACAGCACCCTCAGAAAGAAGGAAACCAAGTTTCCCAACGGAATCCATCAGATTTTTGCCAGGTCAAATCTTTAAGGCTTACATGGAAAAGCAAATAGTTGCCTCATCAATTTTAATATTTGAAGGAGTAGCAAAAGCAAACTGCATCAGCACTGAGAAGGTTTAGACAGATGGACTGTGCAAGACAGATTCAGTCAAGTGCAGCAAGAATTGCAGAGCAGAACTGAGCGTGGCCTCGGTGCTGACAGGCCCTGCTGAGAGCTGTGGTACAGATCACACAGAGCAGGAGAAATATTACATCTGAACTGAAAATATTACATCTGAAATGGCAGCTCAGATGGGAAAGGAATCAAAACAACTCTGATTTTAGGTGACATCCAAGATGATTCAACCAGAGCCTGGAAGAGAGGTCCGAGTTGTTTCCCCTCCTCTCTGTGCAGCAATCAGTTTAATCACATTTGTGTCTGTCCTGTGGGGCCAGATGAGGTTTATCCATTTGGGCCTTTCAATTTAGGAGAACAAGTATTTTTAGAAACAGAAAAAATGTACTGGTCAAAGCCCAGTGGAGCTCAGCACAGCACCTGGTCTTGCATAACTTCATAAACATTATTAAATTTCATGGTGATGCCCCTTTAATTTAGAAGAAACCTGTGACCACAGAAAGAGTTAATGGTACTTAAACCATCAGAAAAAACCCCCTTATGGCTCCCATGGCAACATCAGCATGGCCATGTCAATGTCACATCAATATTATTTACTTCTAATTTGTTGATTATATCCACATGCAGCTTAATAAATATTACACTATCTGTATGTATTATTGCAACATTTGCCAGACCAGAGGCAGTGATGAGGCCTTTTCCCTCCGATCTGTGCACTGCAGTGAGCATCTCAAAGGTTGGATTAAGAGAGCAGGAGAGGAACATTTTGTCATGGAGGCCTCTGAGCAACAAAGTGAAGCTTTGAAAATCTCAAGGAACACTGCAGAGAGGCAGAGAATTTGCAGGTTTCCTCCACGTGCCATTTCTCCCAAGTAAAGAGCAGGCAGAGGTTTATCCAGGTATATTATCAGCTCCCTATTCGGATCAACACATTCATGTCTGACTTCCTTAGGTGCCTCTAAGACTTATAATCTCCCAACTTGTTCTTTGTGAGGCTTTCTGCCTCAAATACCTGTCTTCAGCATGGCATTTTTCATCCTTAAGACACAAAAAAACAAAGCAAGAAAGACTCTACCTTTTCAGGGAGATTTAGGGTGCAAAAGTTGCTAAAAAATTAATTTCAACTTCCACACCAAGGAAAAAGTCACTACAAACTGCATGGAAAGACCAGTTTACAGCCTGTTCTCACTTGCAGCCCAGCTCCCAACAGCTCACTAACCAAACCCAGAGATAATGATATTCTGGCAAAGGAATCTTGAAGAGTTTTCAGTGCAAAGGAAATTAATATCTGTGCCTGGCAACCAAATTTCTCCTTGGAAAGTTTTGAACAAAAGACAAAGTCAATAAACTGCTGAAGTCAACTTGTGAACAATAAATGATGGGGTCAAGAGCAATGTATTCCAGCTCCCAGTTGAGCCTCTGAACCAGCCCTTCCCAGATGGATGTATAAAGTCAGGAGAGGAGAGGGCCAAAAGCTGCTTTCTCAGAAATCCCCTGGGGCTAATGCTCACGGTGAACATCCATAAACTATTAATTTATCTCAATGACCATAGCTCCCATCTATCCTATAAACATATGATACATACTTGAAAATTAAGCTACGGCCATGAAAGGCTATAATGAAAAATTGCTTCCATGTAGCATTTAAAGATTCCCCAGTTTTCCATCAGAGCAAATGTTATGTGTTCTCCTTGCACTCTTGATTTTAGCCCTGTGGCAAACCCCATGGGTAACACCCGCTGAAAAAGTACTTATTTCTCCTTGCAGAACTTGTAGGTGGCACCACTTTAAAGTGTTTGCATCAAAGAAAGACAATCTATAAAAAAACCAGGTTTGAATCCACAAGAATGGAAGAAAAGCTTTTGTCTTATCCTACCCCCTCCAATTCCTTCTCTTCTCACATGATTCTCCATTCTTTCGGGTAGGTTTATTTTAAATTTTATCATGTATTTCTAGCCAATTAGCCTTATCAGTAGAACAAAGATTCTCCTTGTGATTGTCAGTATCCAGGTTTTGCCTATCTCCAAATTCAACTTGTCTTGAGCAATTGTATGGTCTCCAAACAAATTTCAGAATGTTATCCTGACAAACTGGTAAATAAAGAAGCAAAAAGCACTCAGAATGCTTTTTTAAGTCTGAACAATAATATCTTGAAGAAAGGGGTTTAAAAGCACATGGATGGCCATTTGGAAGTTGCTGGAACACCTCTGATGAGCTCTCCCATAACATCCCAAGGCAAGAAGGATTTTCTTTACAAAGGCCAAGGAGAAAGAATGGAAATACCTGGTCAACAGGGACTTGAAATAAGGGTCTGTGTGTTAAAGGGCAGATAAAGCATAAGATCCTTAGGAGGTTTATAATCCTATAATGCACACTGCAAAGGGATTACCCTTTTAAGGGTATTTATAATCCTATAATGGACACCCAAGACCAGTGACCTAATAGGTACTGAAGGTAAGTGAACCAAGAGCATTTGGGTGTGAAATGAAGTACCCTGGGATCACACACTAATGAGCATCCCTGCCTCCAGTGGGACCTCAGGGACACGAGGGAGGAAGAGCATTAAATACCCTGTGCAGATGCTATTGGGATCTAACGCAGAAAATAAAAAGTGTTACCTATTAACATAGTTCAAATGAAAAGTCCAAGGTGTTGGCCAAGAGCCAAGCAATCTCCCAGAATGCTTAATAATTCAACAAGCCAGAAATAGCCAGAGTACCTTTACCATTATGTTTAGTTAAAGACCACAGAGATTAGAAAACACATTATCCATCTCGAAGGCGATTCTTTCCATGTTACAAGTCCCTTAACGACCTTTACCATCTCTCCCTCTCTCTCTCTCTCTTTTAATAAGGCTGAGCAAATGGGACTTCATTTTATCCGATTGCCACAGACTAGTGGTATTAATTATTCATGCTCATACTCTCCCTTTTGTTAAGACAGTGCATTAGACTAATTTCCCTCTTTACTGGGTGAGTTGGGCAAGGCTCAACCTGTGGCCACTCTTGTCGGAGAGATGCGTCCAGAAGTTGGCAAATCCATGAGCCAGACAGGAGAAGAAAGGAAAAGTTCCTGTGCTGCATGGAACTGCAGAGCAGTGGGTACAGGGAACTCTCTTTAAATGCTGTCCAAGAACTCATGAAAGACGACTAAAATTAATTCACAAAGAATTAAAGTCTCTGTAGCCAGAATAGCTAAGCTCTGAGCTTTGTTGCATCTTGCAGCTAAGTGAGGTCAAGCGTGGTCGATGTACTCTGGTTGAGATACTTCCAAGAAAAACCAAGGAATTGAAGGAAATGCTGTTGATGGAACTCTTCCATGCATGTCCAAAACCCCAGCAGGTGTTTTGGGATCCTGTGTTGTTGGAGATGTCTTTTTTTGGATGGAACATTAAAACAACAAATCCCTAACCACTTGTTATCAAAGAGCCTGTGGTACTTTCAACAAGAGCAGGGGTGTTCAACCCACTGTCCTGGCCAAAAGCCAGCAGACAACTGCTCCATGGAATAGCTGGTTTGCCTCTGCACTTCCATTTCTGCCTCTTGTCCAAAGTTTCAGCACCGCACGGAGAGCAAAGACGGAGCTGTTGCTCAGAATTGGGTCAAACGCTCTGTGTGCAGTGTAGTTAGTTCTTATTTAGATGAAGCATTGAAGGGAGGATCATAAATATCAACAAAAAGTGTCCTGTAAAACCACACTGAACCCCTACATCCTTTTCCTCACTGAACAACACACAGGATACATTAAAGAACCACTTTTTCGGAAAGAGCCATCTAGGATAAAGGTTTCAGCTGTCACTTGAGAGACAGAGAAGCAAAACAAAATGAAAACAAACCCCTGAGTTGCTCGGAGAGCAGAGGAACAAGCAGCAAAACTAGGAGCAGAATTCACATTTATTTCCTGATTATGTTTCTCCCGCTTTCCTCCTAACCATCCCTCTGCCAACTAGCAAACACACTGCCTGAATACACACAAATATTGCCAAAACAAGAAAGGGTCTCGAAATTTCAAGTCCACCACAAATAAAAAGGGATCTGGGTTTTGCTCAGGTCAACCCCATCCAATTCAGAAGGTATCTACAAAAGCAGGAAGGCAATTCCATATGCATTTGCAGCAGAACTCATCAAATTAAATACAACATATGGTACACACTGCCTCAAGTTTGGATTTTATTTCTAAAGTGATGTGGAAAAGGAATATTTTTAAAGTTTACAAGCCTCAGGGGCACAGTCTCCCAGTGCAAATGTATTGGATTGCCTACTGTAAATATGGCACATAACACTGCAACAACAACAAACCCAATCTGACTGTTAACAAATGCAAGGTCAGCACGTTGATACTTGTACACAGAGATAAGTGTTCTGGCTCCATAAATTTAAAGATGAGCTAAGATTTAAAAGGAGCAGCTGAGGGAGACAGACAGACAATCAGAGAGAAAAGAAAAAGAGTAAATCAAACACAAAACAGCCAGTTAAAAAAAATAAATTAAAAAAAGCAGTTAATATCCATGAATAATGGATGTTTGATTTAAAAGCAGTTTACTCCAATATGATGTAATTTTTGACAATCAGCCAGAGAGACTATTTTGCAACTTCTTGCCAGATATAAGTCATTGTGTAAAGCTGGTAACACAACCATTTCTCTGAGCATGTGGAAAATTGACTTTCATGCCATCCTAAAGGTGACTTTACGCTGGCAGACGCATGCGCCGAGCTGCACCAAACAGCCTCAAGCAATGCTCACAGACCCACAGAGAGCCCTGAAAAATAACAGAGCCTAACCAGCTTGCAGCAAAGCCAGCAGGAAAAGCAGCCAGGATGCACACCACACACTCCTCCCAATGCCTCCACCTGCTGCAAAACTTACCCACAAAGCGAAAGACAAGTGGAGTTTGTTTTTCCCTTTTCAAGTTTTCATCTGCCTGGACTCACAGAGTAAGACTCCAAGCTGGTAGCAAGAAGGAGAGCCAAGCATTGTGCAGCTCCGGCGACATGGCGCTGCCAATGCACCTGCAACCCTTGCTGTTCCAGCACTGGACACTGCCAGCCCCCAGGACTCTGCCAGCCTGGATGGGCTTGGGATGTGGACAGATGTCTGCTAGGACCTGGAATGGGGTCACCAGACTCATTTGACTTGTGGCTGAAGACTGCTGTAAGAGCTCCAGTGCTCCTGAAAGGATATTGTGTTTACTCACTGAACCACCCACTCACTAAAAAGCAAACCCTAGCCCAGAAACACATTTTCCTTAACCTAAGGGAAAGGCAAAGGCAAGTTAATTCTTAAAAACTGAATTAATTCTCTTGGTTTCCTAGATTATCACCTCGAATATTCATGGCACATCCTAGCAGCGATACTTTCAAAACCTGAGACACTTGCCTAAGCTGCTATGCCAATTTTGAGGCATTCACAATACTGTACAAATCAGAAAAAAAATCCCAGAATATGTCATTAATATCAGCCAATGCAAAATGGACTTAGTTATTTATTTTAACTTGCAAACTTGTTTCTGGTCATTTAGAGGGGTTAAGCAAGACACTATGTAAAGTTTTAGCAAGGCAAGTTCTGCTCTCTCTGCTGGACTCTCATTACTTGTACTGCCTGACACAGTTCAAGTCCTCAGAGAGTTCTGTCACTCCTACATGGTACCAAAGAGTTTCTAAAGAAAAAGGTATTTAGAACACCTTTCACCTTCAGAGATCTCCTAAGACTTGTGGTCCTGCAGCTCCTCAAAGAGAAACATCTGGGCAAGTCCCTGAAGTTCAAATTCAGTCACCAGTAAGCTTTACCCTTCTACTGGTATGAACACAAGAGTTCATGAAGATTAGTTTATTGGAGATTGGGCTATTTTCAAGGGTCACAGAGGCTAACTGAAGTGAAAAAACCCACACTTTTTAAACAAGAAAAGTGAAGATAAAAAATGGAAGTATTTGGAGCTCCGTAAGACCTGGAGACATTATGACACCAGAACAGACAATGCAGCTTACCAGTTCAAGAGCAGGATTTTAGTTAAAAGTGCAAGAAAGATGTAACAGCTTATATAAAGCAGTCATGACCTAAATATATCATCCAAGAGAGACCGTAGAGAATGAAATTCAATTTAAAGGATTATTTATTGTTGCTTAGAGAAGCTGTGGCTGCTCCATCCCTGGGAGTGTTCCAGGCCAGGTTGGATGGGGCTTGGAGCAACCTGGGCTAGTGGAAGGTGTCCCTGCCCATGGCAGGGGGTGGATCTGGATGAGCTTTAAGGTCCTTCCAACCCAAACCATTCCATGATTCTATGATTTAAAATTTGTTTTTCACTTACTATTAGTTCACAACAGTAGTTAATTCTAGTGGATACACTCAACATTAGCAAGCTGTTAAGAACTCCATGGAAACATTAAATAAATACAGGAGCAAAACCAGGCAGTATTTCAGTGGCTGCTGAGCACAGCCAGGTGAGGTGAAACACCTTTCATCAAGTACAAGCCAATCACCAGCTCAAAACAGCTGAAAAAGTGACAGCATTAACAAACAGCTCCCAAGACAGCTGCTCTCAACACATCCAGCCTCCTGTTTCTAAGCTGGAAGCTCTAAAATCATCCCTTTACTCCTCTCTACCCCATTTACCTGTTCTGAAATCAGGTTCAAGTCTGTGTACAAAGCAATCAAAGCCACAACTGAACTATGCCTGATACATGCAACAAAAATTCTCTTGCATGCTATATGAAGCTTCTTTGGTGGAAAACACTCCAAAACCCTCCCGTGCTGATTAGCTTCTATCACCAAGAGCTGCTGAATTTCACGTTAAAAATTTTGAACTGAATTTAAATACAGGAGGAAGTCAGAATTGAGGCTCCCCCTCCCCCTTAAGAGAATAAAGCAGCTATAAATTTCATAGAAACACTCCACAAAGCTCACCTGAAGCTACAGTAGGAGACAAGACTTGACAACAGATGGTCCATTCAGGGAAGGTTATAAATACACCAACTATGAGAAAAGCATCCTACAATCAGTGAGATGATTGCATCAGACATCAGATGATGTCAATCCTCACTGTTACCATGCTACCTCTTTGGGAGGTTTATACCCTAACATGAAGAGCTCTTGTTTAAACCTGTGGATTTCATTTTACATACAGTGCTCAAACCCAAAGCTCAAACATGTCAACACCAAGACTTTGTGATGCTGCAGCAGTGCTTCCATCACAGGGCTCCAAAGTGCATGACACAGGGTCATCTGTCACTGGCTTGGCATCATTCTTCAAGGAATGTCCACTGGATATCACGAGCACCACTTTAGAGTGGAAGGGAAGGCCAGGAATAAGGTTTTCCCTGTGGTTTGTTATCTAGGCTATATAATCGACCATATACAAGCCTAGATGGGAACACAGATCTCAGAATGTCAACAGTTTGGAATTGAAGGGAAATAATACATTCCACATGGACTTAATACAGCTAAAATAACCCTTACTAAAGGAATTTCTCTCTGCTTAACATAAAAAATGAGCTCCAGGAGCACTAACCAGACAAACTTTCAAGAAACAACATCATATTTGGGTTGTCTGCTGCTTAATAAACTGAAAGCTGAACTTCTCCCAGACGAAGCATTTCTATCCTCCCCTCCCTCCTGCACGGGTGTCTGTCATCTAACAGAAGGCAAGTCTAGGCCACGGGTTTGATGTGTTTCTCCTCTCTGACATAAAAGGTCCTACAAAATTTATGCCTCAGATCTCGACTGGGCTGTCAAATGTGGTTAAAATTAGAAAGTGATTAAAAAGAGAGAGGGAAAAGATGGTTTCCCTAACTATTTTCATCAGAAAGCAGGTTACTAGGCAGGAGCATCAGGACTGTGAACTAACACTGAAGAAAAATAATAACCCTAAGGAAAACAAAGAAAACCTCAGACTGCGAAGAAACACAGCCAGCAGCCAAGGGGGCTGGAATCCTCCATCATTCCATTTCCAAGACTGAAAGCTCTCCCAAAGACAGATTGTCAACTTGTGACCAGTGTAATCAGCCAATGCGAAGTCCCTTCACGTCTGCGCGAGGCGAATAATTATCATAATAGACATTAGTAATTAATTTCCGGCGTGATGTCAGCTGCTGCAGCAGTGCCAAGCCAGCGTCCTTGTCACACACAGCCTGCACCACTCCAGGCCCAGCTCCCTGATTAGGATGCACAGTGCTGCACTGCTTAATACAATCTGCCATCAAATGCCAAAGAGCTCAGGACTAAATCTGGAGCCACGTCGGGCGTTACGGCGGCTGACGAGGCCTGAGGAGCTTCTCTGCTCCTTTAAGAGGCTGAGGGAATGCCCCTGAATGAGGCAATTTTACCTTCTAACCTCTCACCTCTGTGGGGAAACGAATTGGATTAGGACAGCAAAGGAATTAATAAAGGCAGCACAGCCTTGCAGCATCTCCCAACCCTGGAGGTATTTATGGTGGCCTCCCTAGTGAATGTCAATTTAAAGGGGAAATGAGATGCAGCTGGACACGTTTATTCCTAACACAGAGGCAATCCTAAATAAAGCTTTCCTGGTCTAGCCACTTGCCAAGGAAAAATGTATTTTACACTGCAGGCCACAGCTTCTTTCATCTGGGTGCTCACCTCCTGTTTCCTTATCCACCTGCCTGAAGCACCTTCCTTCTCCCACTGCTGAGAGCCCATTAGGTGTCTGAAGTATAACACAAAAATGGAATGAAATTAGGGAGTGGAAAAGTTAGGCAAGATACAGGAAAGGGACAGAAACTCATCTCAAGGACTCAGGAAGGAAACAGGTCTTTCTGCAGCTTGGTCCCTGCCCTAGAGTGGGGCTGTGTCCTGGGATCTTAAGTAGGAGTCTAAGACCCCCAGAAGCTGTGGCTGCCCCATCCTTGGAAGTGCTCAAGGCCAGGCTGGATGGGGCTTGGAGCAACCTGGTCTAGTCTAATTTTCCTTCCTTTAATCCAACAGTCACACTGTCCTCACCAAACTGGAAGTAATTTAGCTCAAGCACAATAAAAAGAGCATATTTGCACATAGAAAGCTTGACACATTGCTCAGGATGTCCTTACCAGAAAGGCTGAGGGATATTTTGGGATTTTGGGTTGTTTACTGGGGTTTTTAAGGGTTTTATGAGACGAGTTCCCCCTGGTGCAGCATAAACTGAGCTGGACCTCTCTGAGGAGCAGAGATTGCAAAGGGTTTACAGTGAATTAAGTTGGCTGAACAATAATCCCTTCAACACTTACAGAAGCATCAGATTATTGCAGTTTTAAAAGAATATCTTCCCTCTGCTGTCAAAAGCTAAAGAGCAGGGAGGGAAATGCTCAGCATCATCAACCCTTTTTTCCTTTATTAATTATGAAGGTATAAAAATCTTACCAACAAAATTAAATACCTGGTTGGGCTCATTCAATAGCCAGCCAAAGGTTTTGACTCCAAAGGCTGCTTCTTTAGCAGACACATCCAGACAGGTGACAGGCTGACCATAGACAGAATGAAGAACTTTGACAGGATCTTCTGCTTTCAGGAGATAGACAATGTCTTCTGCAGCTGCTATTGCCACTGGACTCCCCGTAACATCTGGAACCAGATTAAGGAAGTTGACCTAAAAAGAGCAGACTTTTTATTTTTAATACACTCAAAAATTCTTTGACATGACTACTGCCACCTGCTAAACTGAACAAATGACTGATGTGTGAAGGAGAAAGACTTAATGGACTCAGTCAGATGAAGGCCAGAAGGTTAAAGCACACACAGCAAACACCATGGTGAGAATGTGAATAAGGTGCTCCAGAAGAGGAAACACATTGATACAACTCATATGGAATACTTGATGTTTATCCTGCAATCATGTATATACACCTAAAATTATCAGAGTTCACCACATGATTCCAGGACAACCCAAATATCAGCTCCCCAGTCGCCTGTCGCAAGACCACAGTGATGCTGCTCTTCCCATTTCAGTGAAGATAAAGCTGAAAACTCACACCAGGGGAAGGGTTTAAAGTCCTTAACAGCACAGCTGATTTCTAACTCAGCCTTAGCAGAGACTGTGGAGTCCTGAGTGTCTGTCTGTCCCACAGGGCAAACTGACTTGTCACAGCAAGTAAGAGACAAAAGTAAAATGGATCCAACCACAATGGAGTGTGTGGTGGTTTTACTGGAAAATCTCTTAAATAAACAAACTCCCCAAATATTTTAAGCATTATAAGACTGACTTAGCTTTGGATAAGGGGAATAATCAGAAGTGGTTTAAATCACTTCACACCCATTAGCTGTGCAGTCAACTTCCTGCAATAGGAGGCTGCAAGACACAATTATTCCTACACACTTCCTTCCCCTTTCAAAGAACTGTTGATACTCTGAATCAGAATAAAACTTCAGAGAATGGGACAGCTTTTGCTTTTTAATTAAAATAGTTTCAAAACTTCAGTGACAGAAGGTGCAACCTAAAGAAGCTGCAGAACTAGTTACAGCTTCACAAGTGATACTATTAGCTTGCATGCAATATCCTGCCTCAGAATTAATCAGAGAGTGTTAATCTGGAATGAGACCTGGAGTTTGAGCTCCAATTCTATGCGAGAAAACTGATTTACAAAATGAGCCAACTTAGTTTAATGTTGACAAAAAAAATAATAATTAAAACCAGCCAACCTCCTGCACCATATGGACTTCTGTTCATTTTCACTTGTAGCTTAAGCCAGCATTTCACCCTTGCTCTTCAGTGCTGAGAGGCTCCTCCATTAACCTGCTTCAGAGTCACAGCCTCTAGCTCCTAACGCTGTTACCTCCTTCAGGCAACACTGCTGTAAGACTTTTGTAAGATCCCTCTTACTGTATCAAAAATAATTAGTGGATCAGGAGCTCCTGGAATGAAGCTGAGCAGCCTGGAGACTCACCAATTTCTGGATTTCAAATGTTCCTGTAGTTTGCCAGAATCCTCTGTCATCAGGGCTTTCCACTTTGACCTCAAAGCCAGATGCCGTGGCCACGGCTGTGCCCCCCGAAACGAGAGCTAGAGCTTGTGTCCTCTGGTTGTGCTGGTAATGATGGATTGGCTCCCGCCCAAACATCAGGTTCCAAACGCTAATGGTTCCTGGACAGCAGAAAATAATCACTATGTGTTATCTTAGAACTGAACAAAACTTTCAAAGAGCATTTAAAGGTGTAAGGCTAACAGTATTCTGATGGGAAAAGTGAGTATATAGAGAGGAAACTGAGGGCAGGAAACCAGAACTTCAGGACACTGTGGTTCCTCTGAACCACGTAACAGCTTCAGGGGAAATATGTGTTCTCTGGCCTCAAGCTGAAGGAGGGAAGGTTTAGATTACATATTAGGAAGAAATTCTTCACTATAAGGGTAGTGAGGCACTGGCACAGAGAAGCTGTGGCTGCTCCATCCCTGGAAGTGTTCCAGGCCAGGCTGGATGGGGCTTGGAGCAACCTGGGCTAGTGGGAGGTGTCCCTGCCCATGACAGGGGGTAGAATGGGATGAACTTTAAGGTCCATTTCAACCCAAACCACTCCATGACTCTAAGGCTGGACACAATGATCTTGGAGCTCTTTTCCAACCCTAATGATTCTGTGATTCTCCAATTCCAGGCTCTGTTGCTCTCTGTATTTAACTCCTAATTATTGACTTTCCAATAACATTAGTATCTACCTTGAGGAAGACTCTTTGACTTCTCACATTTCCATGTTTGGGGAACATAAGAATAAACAGACACCTGAATCTTTGTTTCACCATACACATGCCCTTAATTACCACAGCAAGGAGAACCCACATTCAATAAACAGACACCTGAATCTTTGTTTCACCATACACATGCCCTTAATTACCACAGCAAGGAGAACCCACATTCAAATTTAAGTTGCTTTGCTGCACACAGGAAAGTTTTGAAGTGAAGAATCCAGAGCTCTCCACACACATGTCAGGGATTTTTATATCATTCTTAAGAGTTTACAACCAGCAGTAAAACTCCTCATCCTGATGCTCTGGCAGAACAGAAAATGCAGAATTGATGGCACGTGGTGTGATTGATGGCACATGGCTGTCCTGTGCAGGGCCTGGAGCTGGAGTCTATGATCCTTGGGGGTCCCTTCCAGCTCAGGATATTCTGTGATTCTACGATTCAAAAAGCTAAAGAATACAAATCCCAAAGAATACAGGAGTGTAAGTCAAACGACAACATGTTTGTAATTGCATTTTCCCCAGCATGGATCCCCAATCCCCTGTTTAAAAGCCTGGTGCATTAAAGCCATAATCTGAGTAAGAGCAACCTGAGGCAATCAGGAGTGTGTTAGGGAACAGAAGGGCCAGACGGAATTGGAGCCTTCTGGGCCACCTTTGCACTGAATTAAGAGAGAAGCAATCTTCAGACACGATAGGCAGGGCTGGAGAAGCCTTCCTTCAGCTCGAGCAGGGCCATTAATGATGAAATGATTAATGGCAGCTCTTCCTTCAAAAGGAGACATAAAAGCCCTGACAGACAGCTGTGGACGGGCACCAATGCCAGTTTGCAAACACTCCTCCCATGTCCCAGAGGAGGTGAAGCAAGAGTGTGGTAATGAAACTGCACATAGTGAAATGGTATCTAAATGAGTTTAAATTGATTTATGTTTGCTTTTGTAAAGATTATTTGGTATCTGGAAAGTGCTACCGATGTGAAATAATGCAGATAATCCTTAAGATCCCTGTCTAATGGCACTCCCACTGAATATTTATATTCCTCACCATGGGAATGAGTACCATAATGGGGACCATTTTTGTTTTATTAGGGATGAATATTTAAATTAATCTGCTATTTGCCTAAACAATTAGCCGCCTCTGTTTGTTTACACAAAGCCAAAACTGCAATTAGGCTTCCATCAAAAAGATAAGTCCCGACTAAAACTGTCCCGATGGAGTCGTAAGGGCTCAGAGCAGAACTTCCCAAAATTACTTCTTAGCATAATGGTAATTATGTTAATTGCTTGAAAGGTAAATAACTGCTGAACTGGGCTGGAAAAACAGAATGGTAACTCATATTGCAGACACTTAGCTTAAAATCAGTTAACAAATACAAATGGGCAGCACTGGCTCCATCCCCTCTGCAGCCAGGTCTGCCCCATGCCAAGGCTGAGCAGCAGCACCTCTGTGCCTGCCCTGAAACAAAGGGATGGGTGCGTGAAGTCTCATCTCCAGGACAGCTGAGTGAATCAGGCAAATAACCCACCAGCAGTGATGAAAGAGCGTAGTGGTATCAGATCATGCATGTTAGAACTGGACTTTTTTGTCAGCCGATGGATATGGCAGCCAAGCTCCTCCAGGCAGGAGGATTTCCAGTTTTTGTTTTGCAGAACATTTATCCCAGTTAAAGACCACTTTTGTGAAGGGGAAAAAAGATGCTGATTTGCTTTCAGCAAAGCCTTTTGTTCACATATCTCCGTGACAAGCATTTCACTGGTTTTAGCAGTGCATTAGTGTATGAAAGTTCTGCAAAATACCAAAAAATATTCAAGTCAAAGAACCCTTTTCTGACCACAGGAGCAAACTGAGAAACACAGAATTCAGAGTTCTGCCCTCTATCACTATTATTACTGTAACTCAAACACCACAAAAAGAGATGACAGTGAAAATGGCTCATGCAATAGTAAAATGCTTTCAAGACAGGTACTTTTATTTCTAACCAGATGTTCAATAGCAAAATCTCTCCAAAATACCAAAAAATTGTATTTGAACACAGTGTGTGCAACTTCCTAGACACAATATGGTGTGACAACATCCCTGGCAATATCAAAAAAACAAGTAAGGTCACAAGTTAACATCTGTTTAAGGGAGCACAGCGTAAGGAGTAACAAGGAGAGTTCACAGCATATCCTGAGTTGGAAGAGACACACAAGGATCATCAAGTCCAACTCCTGCACAACAGCAGGAAAACATTATCAACCTTTTCAGAGTAAGATCAAACACTCCACTGTATTTACCAATAGGTAAAGCTACTAGGAGAGCTGAAAGTGCTACTCAGAATATTCTGTACCCTGCATTTCACTGCAGAAGCAGCAAAATGTATTTATGAGTGTGCAAGTCTTTGCAATAGTCAATCACATTTGTGTAAGAGCAAAAAAACCTCCACCATTAAAGTTATTAGAATGGCAACATAAAAAAAAATCAAGCATAAGATTTACCAGTGCAGATGAGATCACTACTCTGCAGTCTGTCTTCTGCCTCCAGCACTGCCCAGTGCTTCATTTCCAAAGCAGTGTCTCTGCTAAGGTGAAGTTAAGGTTGCAAGCACACAGTCCCTTCTTTTTGGTTTAATACTGAAATCTTAAAAGTGTTAGAAAGGCATTAAATCAAAATTATAAGCAGTGCTTTCCCGGCATGCTAAAATCTGCACCACAACTATGATTATTTCAACTGAACTCTTAACAATAACTCCTCAAAATGATTTAGACTTTCCATCTTGCTTATATTTCATCTTGGCTCAAGAAAACAAGGAGCTGATGACAATGGTATAACCGCTGACACTCGACATGACAATCACTGCACCAGTCTCCTTGTTCATCACTTTGCCCCAGATTTTAGAAAGAACTCAGGTTTGCAACTTCCAACCCAATATATTGCTGAATTGTGGCCTGAGAGAAGGTCCATTTATTGCAATTCACTCCAGATTGGAAGGTATTTGGATAAAACACGGAAGATGAGCCTATTGTGCCTCACACAGTGCAGTGCTGATCTGACTGACCTCCAAATTCAGTAGGCATCAGCCAGCCTTACACAGCTCTGCTGCACCAAAGATGGATAACTGGGACTCTCTCCACGGTCCCCTCCTTGCTGCTGGGAGCACAAAAGACATCCTGCAAAAGCAGCTGGTTTTTACATCTATTTTCACACAGGTTTCTCTCTGGAATTACAGGTAACACATTTGCCAAG